CCAGGTCTTTTACATTTTACCAAAACTTCAGACTCTGGTATAGTACATAATGGGTTTACTTTCTGGGGGATTTTATATCCGGCCATTTACGGTAATTCATATCCATTTACTATGACTTTAGTTACCTCCATTTGAATGTCTGAGGCGCTTTATTATTGTTCTTCAATGGAGCTTCGCCTAGAGCCAACCCGAATTGGCATTTAATTAAATGCCTCGCTTTTGTCGATCCATGCGCATTTCAGGTCCCGAGTCATATGGTTTGGATTACGTTTTTTTTGCTACAGCCGGGCCTTCATAACATACGTACAGTACATACTTATGAAACTTGCATATTATCATTATGAAAACAAGGCGTAGTAATATGCAGGTCCGTAGGATCAACAATTCCTTTGTAGTATTTATTTGAAACAGCGGTAATAAAAAACAAACCGTAGTATTTTAACTTAAATAGTATTTATTGCAGAAAAAAGTAAAATAATGAATTTTACAGAATTGGTAATTTTATTGACGCAGATAAGTATAGATCCTGATTTCGTGTAATATGTCCTGCTTTTCTATAAAAAGAAAATATCTCCCCTCAAATTATATAAATCGGTAATACTGTTAATCAAATTATTTTTTTCTCAAATTCAAAATGAAATCATTGCCAAACGAATGTTTCCTTGAAATATTTAATTATCTACAACACAATAGCTTATTTTCTTGTCTACTAGTAAATCGTCAATGGTTTAGATTTATTGCACCAATTTTATGGAGTGAACCTCTAAACCATTTTGGGGATGCAATAATTATAAGTATATACCTCTCGTTATTAAATGCTGAAGAACAAGCTTTGTTAATTCCATTAGAAATAATACTTCCAAATGGACCGAAACCATTGATTAATTATGCTACATTTACTGTTAGTTGTAAAGACGTTTGTCTTCGTAGATCAATAGAAAATTGGATTGATAATGGAAATCAAATATTTCATAATTCAGCAAATTATGATTATAAATATAATATAATTCAAATAATCAAATGTTCTTTGATTGCAATGTTTTTACGAACAAGTAATAACCTTAAATCTATAACCTTTCAAGATCATGATTATAGTATATTTACAAAAACTTTAGTAGAAACTCTTTATAGAAATGCAACTATTAACGACATTAAATTTGAATATATTAATCTTGGTTTTGATGAAGTAAAAGCAATAACAGATGCTATTTCCAAAAACACCACACTCAAATCTTTAACTTTTGTACATAACAATAGCCCTGAAAATGGAAAATTAATAGCTAAGGCACTTTATGAAAATACTACTATTTCATCTTTGAGTTTTCATTTTAGTAAACTTGATGATGAAAGTGGGAGGGCATTGGCAAATGTTCTTTTTAAAAACTCTACTCTTACATCTTTGGATCTTTGTTGTAGTCGACTTGGAATTGAGAGTTTAAAAATATTAGCAGAAGCTCTTTGCAAAAATACATCTCTGACTTTATTAAATCTTGGTAGTAATTGCTTTGGCGCTGAGGGAGGAAAAGTAATTGCAGAAGCCCTGCGCAAAAATATTACGCTTACATCTTTAGATTTTCATGGTAATCAGATTGGTGTTGAAGGAGTAAAAGCATTGGCAGATGCGCTTTGTGAAAACACATCTCTGACCGACTTAAATCTTGAAGATAATCAACTTGGCGGTGAAGGAATGAAGTTATTGGCAGTTGCACTTTGTAAAAACACTTCGCTGACTTCTTTGGATCTTAGTGATAACCAACTTGGTATTGAAGGAGGAAAAGCATTAGCAAATGCTCTTTGTAATAATATTGGCCTCAAATCTCTATATATTGCTTCTAATGAATTTTGCCGTGAAGGAATAGAAAGTTTAGCGAAATCTCTTTGTGAAAACTCAACACTTACCTCTTTAAATATTCTTTATGATTTTATTAATGTTGATGAAGGAAAAGCATTAGCGCAGGCACTTCGAATAAACTCATCTTTAACGGAATTAGATATTAGTATTTGCCCCCCTGATGGTGAAGATGTTGTGAAAGAATTTGCTAAAGTTTTACGTAAGAATGTAACTTTAACTAGTTTGATTTTTTACTATTATGATGAAGATTATGATGAATCAGCGTATGACAAGATTACAGATACGTTTAAAAAGATTCAAAAAAAAATTAGAAAAGATATCAATTTTTGTTTTCAATTTGATAAATAGAAATAATGATGACATTAAATTTTTTAATCATGAATTATAAATCAGATCTGAAGTGTAAACCAATTTATCTGAACAATCTGGATAGTCCAAATTTAAAATTTAAATACGAACAAAATTTCCAAAAATGATTTTAAATATTAAAACCATATTAATGTAGCATCCCACAACTGTGTGCCAAGTTTGTTGGCAAATTGTAATAGTTAAAATTATAAATTTTAATAAAACAACCCGATATTTTCAAAGACGTACTGTATAAAAAAAATTGGTTCTACTCAATTTATTTTCGATTAAGTATTTTTCTTTGCTTCTTCATATCAAAGAAATGTTAATATGCTTCTTTTCATGACTTTAAAATTTTATACGGTTCAGAATGACAATAATGATAATTCTAATTAAATACGTGAAATAAGAAGAAGTGTCGTACAGTTAATTAAAAAAAATAAATAAAAAAATATTTAAACTAAGATTTCCACATAGTCTATCTAAATCAAAAAGAATAATAATAACGTTCTCCTAACCTAACCGTTAAAGGATTCATTTTAAAAGCTAAATTTATAAGCTTCGTTAACTTTCGAAATTATCGTAACAATGTTTGACACATACAAATTAATGATTCTGTTATAGTACAGTATATTCAATTTACAAATAAAAAGGGAATTTAAGCTACAAAGTGCAAGACATCAGCGAAGCCAAGATAAGCTGATTATTACGCCAATAACCTGGCACACATTCAAAAGATGCTTATGATATACTTTATATAAATTTGATCAATCAGTATATGAATAATCAATTATACGTACTATGCTCGGCATAAAATTAATTTGACTTGTACTAAGCTTAGCCTAAAATTAATTAATTTATGCAAATTTAACATAAAACGAGCTCGTCTTATGTTAAAATGAACCAACTTTGTTTTATGATATAGCCATCTATAATAAATAGGTCGGGGTAAATTAACTAGAGTTTCTTTTATTTTAATGATAACTAATTCCTTTCTTTATTTGCCTAAGTGATTTTGAAGTGTTTGATGTAATTTTTGGCAATAGCTATTAAGAAGATCTATGATATGTATTTTAGCTTAAAATTTAGTATATGGTGAAAATTAGGTCTATTAGTTATAGTGCAGGATGTAATCCTGCTCATCCAAACTCAGTTGAGCCTTGTACGAGTTTTTGCAACCGCGATCTTTATTATAAAATTTAAAAACTTATTATGCTTGAATTGAGTTCGTCGAGTAGAAAGTTTCATGATTTGTAAAATTTTAAATAAAATTAATTCCGCAATATTATATTAAATTTTCGACATATGATAAAAATTCATTTAAAATATTTAAAGGCATTAGAAGTTCATTTAACATATTTAATATGCATTAGAAGTATAAATTATCCCTCTGGAATAAGCTTATTGAAAATGGGTAGTGATAATGTTACAAGTTTATTCAATATAAGGGTTTTTTATTTTAGGCAAAATCATCCGGGTAGATAGAATGAACTTATTAGATAAAATGTTACCATATTATGCGGATAAGATATATTTATACGAATATGAATTTCATGTATTCTACTAAATAGCAACAGGATTCAAACTAACATGCTCGAGCAAGCATAACTACTAGTGTATTATGTTGAAAGCTGGTTTTATGTATGTTCTTTAGAATAGGGTTTGAAGCACTAAATGGTTTAAGCAGGATAACATCCCTGTTATAGTTTTCGAAAAATTAGAATTGTTGGAATACAGTATTCGATTTTAGCAGTAGTTGACATGAAAATAAAAACTTTTTTTTTATAGTCATAAATAGAGGTGTAACGAATGCAAGTTTTTTTTTTAGCTTTGCATTACATATGCGATAAAAAGTAATATGATGCATTAAATTACGAAGACCTTCTTACTCATATTTCAGTTTACGTATACCAAACCAAATTTAGTGATTTTATTTACGTTAGAACTTAAAGACTTCTTTTGCAACTTTAATTAAAAGCTCAAATAACATTTACTTAGTAACTAAACTATATAATAAATTTCGAATTATTTTAATTTATAAAATAATTTTACAATTTTAAATTTTAAACATTTTAAGCAGCATACGTTACATTGTATAGCATTATGATTGCAAAATATGATATGCGTAATAATCCGTAATAAACAATTTTTAATCGACCAAACAAATTTTTTTCAATATCAAAAGATACTTTTGTTGAATCAATTCACTAGGTACGGGATTGATTTTATTTTTGATTAATATTTATTTATCTTAATATTAAGCTATCTGTTAAGATCAAATAATATCAATAATATCATTACGGCGGATTGGCGGAATTGGACCTTTTAATTAGACCCTAAATTGATCATTTTAAGGGTAACAAATTAATAAATTATGGACATCAGTATCTAAAGCTAGTACATGTTACTTTTGTGTTACTTTATTAAATAAATTTAGGGTTCAAATTTAAGTATCTAAATAAAGGTCCAATTCCGCCAATCCGCCGTAATGTTTAGAATTAGACTATAGAAATATCTACGTCACTGCTGCACTGGGTTATATCCCGTTGTAAAGATGTCTTTATATTGAGATATAACCCAATGACGTAGATATTTTTATTGTATACCTATAATTTAGACTTTTCTTATGATACTCTAATGAATATATAAGCGCAATCCTTTCTTCCTCCAAAAAAAAATTTTTATATGAATAAAACGCTCATAATAATATCGGTAAATTTTTAAAGTTAAATTTTCGGTTTTTGTGAACTTTTTATTTCTAAAACTAGGAACAGCAGGGACACCAAATACAGAAGCTTCAATGATTAACTCACCAATAACTGATTCATTTAGCTCAACAGCACCAAATTTTATGTTTCCGGCAATTCCTCATGACACATCGACGCTAATTATCCGGAGTTAATTGGACAACTTACACAATTTTATATGGCATCCCCAAACATGTAGGCATTAAATTTTATGTTTCCAGCAAATCCTCATAATGTTTCGACAGTTAATTATGCAGAATTAATTAGACAACTTGCACAACTTTATATGGTAATAAACTTAAGGTTGCAAATATATACTGTAATTTCTTCAATTAGATGCTCGAATTCCTCCTCAAACAGATCCTAGCATTTATTTGACTGCACTGTTTTATGACCCTAATTCTGGAGTTAAAAAAATCAAGTATTACGAAAGTATCAAGAATTATCTAAATGAACAAAACTCTATTAAAATACTTGATCCTTCGAAAATTAATGGTGATGGTGCCATTAATTTTAATTTGAACCAAGAAGAGCTAACTGAATTAAATAAAATGATGTTCTTCAAGCCGGTACATATATATGACGAAAATTTAGCAAATGATATCAATCTACAAATGACAAATTTTAATAAACTTATGAGAACATGTTACCATGCCATAAATTACAATGTTCATACTTTTTCTCAATCTGAAATTCTAAGACGTATGTCTTTAAGATCTTTATATACATTTGAACAAGCGTGTCGTGAGATGAAGGAATGGATAAAGAAATGGGCAGCAAAAAAAATCATAATTCTAAAAAAGGGGGAAAAGTCAACAACTAAAGTTTATGATCTTCTCTGTGGAAAAATTAAACTTCACAACCTTTTAAATACGAATGAAATAAATCATAATTCATTTCAAATTCAACACGAACAAGGAAATAAAAAAAGAAAAAAAGAATCAGATGATTTTATTTATATTAATAGTCCTCTATATTCGGGAAAAATTTCTAGACGAAAACTTGGTACATTCATTTCAGCTGGACCACGCTTAACTGAATTGATTGAGACATTAAATAATAATTGGACAAGTTTTGATTTAGTTGATGACATTAAGATTACCTGGCTTGAAAATTTTCGTAAAAATGAATGGGATGAATTTATTAAATGTATCAAGGTAATTTTATTGTCAATTTATGATCATGCGATACAATGGTTTAAATACCTGTGGATAATTGTTTATTCTCTCTCTTTTTTTTAGTGCTGTCGGAATTTTTACAGAATTTATAATTGATAAAGACCATAACAATGTATCGTGTGGAAAAAAAACTGAATAATTATTTCCGAATATATAAACAATAGCATGGCTTATACAGCTTCTTAACATTATTTCGTTATCATGAACAATTACACCAGAATCCAACATTACATTATTAACATCACTTGATAGCAAAATTCCTTCTTTATTCATGTTTGCTTGTCCATTTTTTCAAGATTAAATTTTTGTACACATATTATAGTAAGCTTTTATACTATTGCTTTTAATCTAATGTGCCGCATACATAACCCGTCCATACCCCAACTATTAATAAAGATTGACTTGACTGGTTTAATAAATTACCTGATTCAGGAGTTAATGTTTCAATTTCATTAATTATTTCGAGTTATTAAAAGCGCTTATTTTATTTCAGTCTTACCTTCTTTGTCTTGCACTGAACTATCTAACGTTGGAATATCTGCATTAAAAGTATTTAAGTTCCGCGTTTCTTATGATTTTTATCAAATTTTATAGCAATTAATGAAAACTTGAGGATTTAATTGAAATTATGGATTGACCTTAGTTACAAATTAGTGTTGTTTATCTAGACAGTATTTATTCATAATACATATTTAATACCATATGAAATTCCATTAGTATCTAGACAAACTTTTTAATTAAGCCTACACGAACTTACCCACTTTAGTTTAAATAAAACGCATATCAAGAATGCGCAATCCGTAAATCTACACTTGCCGAATATACTACATTACTGATAAAGTAGTAAGAGAATTAAAAGGTAAATATCTTTTCGAGGTATGTGTGACTTCTCACGACCGATTACAAAATTTATTAATCTATCAATTGCTGTTATTTTTTATGTAGATTTACCGTATTTAGCTTTCCTGAATCTGAAGAATCTTTGTCATGTCGATAATAAAGCATCAAACTTTGAATTACTTATGCAAGAATTTTTGGCGCAAAATTTTGAATAATATTTTACTCTTTAAATATTCACCCACTTAAATTAGTTCACAGTTGAATTTCTAAAAAACGTTTATGGAGATGAATATAATGATATTTAAAAAAATTCAGTGTTTGACATGAAGTTCTCTTGTCATATGTACCAATGCAAACACATTATTTAACATTAAAATCGGTAATTAAGATTTTAGTAGCCTTCAGTAAATAAAATGCAGTTCATTAGTGATGATAATTTTTACGAAACACCACCTACTTGTAGCAGAATTTTGTTATAATTTTTTGAAGCTCCCTGTCATTGTTAATGGATAGCAGCACGCCGTACTACCGGTAGTACATTGTACTACATTGTGACAGTTTTTGAAAGCAAATACCCACTAATTTAAAAAATTAAATACCTTATTAAATATTTTTTTAAAGTATCTTAAGTCTATACAATTACATAATAAAGATTTTAATAACTCTAAATATTTTTTAAAATTTTGTAAAAAGTTTTTTTTACCTACAATTTTTAGCAAAACCTAGTTTTTATATAGTAAATTTGAACTTTTTTAAAAAATTG